GGTATGATTCTCTGTACATTTTTTATTTTAAAAATCTCCCAAAACAAGTAAGATACAAATTTTTAAGTCTTAACCAATTGAATTGTGTTTCCTACTGCCTTCCTTTGGCTCTGTGCTCTCATTAAGGCTGTATCTAGAAACCTCACTCCCCAGCTAACTCCAGAGAAAAACTTATTTTCTCCTGAAATTGTTAAGTTTTCTGGTCTGAAGTTCTGCTTCTCCACTTTTTGTGTTTGTGCACATAGAGCCACAGCCACCTTGAGCTGAGGAAGAGATGTCTAAGCAGAAGCTGTTTGGCCAGCAGCAGTACTGAGATTGTGGCTACTGGAACTGGGCCCTACACACACAATCCTCTGAGAGAATCCTGGGCCCTGGGCTCATTTCTAAAGCACAGGTGCTTCTTCCTTTATCAAACAGCCCAACAGTCACACTGGGCACAGGAAGGGCACATGGAACATTTAAAATCTATAGGCATCAGGTTAAGTCTCAGCACTATGAAGCTATCAGCAGCCACTATCCAACCAGGGAGCTGACCCCCATGGAGCAGCAGACCTCTCCTGTCTAGCCTGCTGCTCTCCTCAGTAGTGTATTTCAGTCAGCCGGACTGTTCTGCTCCCCACTCTGTCTCTGGTGAATCCTCTCACCCCCTGCACCTCTGGCCTATACCCCAGCTCCTGTATGCATAAATAGATAAATCTTTTTTAAAAATGAAATAAAATCAGGCCTCCCCTGATGGCGCAGGCGGTTGAGTGCCGCTCTGTGAAGCTGTCCGCAGCCTCTGCAGCGCCGGTTCGATCCCGGCCTGCCGACGAGGGTCCCACATGGCGTGGCAGATCTCTCTTGTCTTGCCCGCTGCTCCCCTCAGCAGTGTATTTTGTCAGTCTGCCTGTTCTGTTCCCAGCTCTGTCTCTGGTAAATCCTCTCACCCTCCTGCGTATCTGGCCTGTACCCCGGTTCTTGTATAAATAAATAAATCTTTAAAAAAAATGAAATGAAATCTATAGGTATAAGTTCATATAGCTTTTCCATTTTATTTTGATTTCCATTTATGCTGTTTAAAAATAAGTTCAGAAAAATCACTCAATTCATTAACAATTCCCTTTTCAAAACAAATGCCAGTGAAAACACAGACTATTGTAAAGGAAAGAATTTTTAGCAGCTATCTTAAAATAAATCACTGATAGCCGTGAGCAAGTTGGTGAGAGGCCTTTTAAGAGGTCAAAGCAGCATCACAGTGCTTTCCGGGAAACAGGAAACAATCTGAGAATGTGATAAAGTCAAAAGCAGAATCAGTCTGAATGAATATATTCTGTATTGAAGTCCAGTACCTTTCAGCGTCTTGTTCATTTCTTTCATTTTTTTTAAAGATTTATTTATTTATGCATACAAGAACTGGGTACAGGCCAGAGGTGTGCATAGTGAGCGGATTCACCAGAGTGGGGAACAGAACAGGCAGACTGACTGAAATAAACTGCTGAGGGGAGCAGCAGGCAAGTCAAGAGAAGTCTGCTGTGCCACGTAGGTAGCTCCCTGGTCAGGGATCAAACTCATGCTGCAGTGGCTGCAGATAGCTTCATAGGTTGTGTCTTCACCCCTTGCATCACCAGGGAGGCCCTTGTTCATTTCTTTCTTTCCATGACAATGCCTTCTGGTAATAATCAACCATTTCTGCTCCAGTGTTCTGGGCCCAGGGAATGGATAAGTGGAAAACTGCAGCTTAAATTGGCATATTTCTTAATTCCAAGCACAGGTTTCCACTGCTATTGAAAGTAGAATGTTCCTATTAGTAGATTTGGAACATTATTTTATTATCACTATTATTATCATTAATTTATATGGAAAATTTTTTGATCATTCCCAGATCCAAAAAATAAACTAACAGATCATAGGATAGGAATGTTTTATTTTCAGATAGTGGGGGAAACCTGTATACCAGAAATTATATGGAAAGAGCAAAGAGTGGCACAGAACAAGGCAGATGAGGAAGCACACACTGACTTGCCTGGGCTGGGTGCACTTAAAAGTGGGCCCAACCCACTGAACTCTGGGATCTCAGGGAAGAGAAGCTCACAGGGCCTCTAAAACAAGGACTAGATTTTTCTTCAAGCACAATTAATACTTTTCAAATAATAGGCTCTGTTCACATGAACTCTCCAAATCCCATAGGCCTGGACTGCAACTCTGAGAGACTGTGGAATTCTCTGTAAAATGTGTATAAATATAACCACTGAGTTACTGTGGGAACTACAGGCAATGATAAATAAGGCACATAGCGAGCATTCAATGAATTATATCTTATAGGTCTTATAAAAGATATTCAGATTCCTAAAGTTTTAGAAGAAAATATGATCCTTCATATTGGGTTGTTCCCCAGCTAGGGTTTTCTGGTCATAGTCTGACAATTCAGGACTATTTCTCAGAAGAACTAAAGACTAGGAAAAAGGAATCAGGCAGCTGTCTTGAGCTAGTCTCCTCCTATCACTAGAAATTTCCCTTCTGGGCCCTTTGAGCTTTCCTTCCTAACTCATTCTTTCAACAATAATTTATTGAACACTGATCAACACATTGGCACAGAAGAAAATGAATATGAAAAGTTTTTGTCTTTGGGGAGCCTTCAATACAGGATAGAAAAATCAGCATTCAATTAGCAGAATTCCTGCAATATAATTTGCTTAAGAAGTCAGCTATTATTACTTTGTTTTTTGTTTTTAAAGATTTATTTTATTTATGTTATGCATATAAGAGCTGGGGTGTAGGCCAGAGGTGTGGGGGCTGGGGTGGGTGGTGGTAAGAGGATTCACCAGAGACAGAGTTGGGTGCTGAACAGGCTGACTGACTGAGATACACTGCTGAGGGGAGCAGGGGGTGAGACAGGAGAGGTCTGCTGCACCATGTGGGTTAGAGCCCTAGCCCGGGATCCACCTCATGCTACAGTGGCTGCTGATAGCTTCATAGTGCTGAGACTTAACCCCTTGCACCACCAGGAAGGTCCAGTTATTATTACTTTGTAGATGGGTTAACCCAGTCAATAGATTTTCCCCTATTGTCTCTCAACTCATCCCTCTCTCACATACTTGTTTGCATGTATAAACAGCATCCACGCTATCAACCCTAAAGGTGAAAGAGACTTCTTTACATTAACATCAAGCTGCAAGAAGAAATTACACAATGGGACCTGGAAGCCTCTGTGACCCTAAAACTGCTGGGCCCTCAGAACTCCTTCTGAATACCTTCACGTCTCTATTTTGTTGCCAGGCCCACTCTCCATAGGGATTACTCACTGTTTTCTTCAATGCCCCATTAAACAACTTTCCTCCTCCTCTCCATGTGTCACTGTCTCCTCCTTAGACTAAAAGTCGAGGTCACCTAAAATATTATCCAGATTTCCTTCTCATTCGTTCGTTCAACAAATATCAGAGCACCTCGCAGATGTGAGCGAGCACCAAGCAGCCATGGTCCTCGCCTTACAGACCTCAGCAAACTAGTAAGTTACACAGTAAGCGAAAATGACACAAATTATTGCACACTCTGCAAGTGACTAAGGAGAATTCCACGTGCTTCAAATATTAGGGACCAGGATAGCTTTCCTTAAGAAATGATAACTGAACAATCTCAAAATTAAAATGGAGGTTAACTAAGAGAGAGAGAAGGAGGAGGGTCCTGACAAAAGGAAGTGCATTGCAGGGGTCTTGGGGCAATGACTTGACATCTCTGAGAATGTAAACAAAGCTAAGACAGCAGGGGTTACCTCAAATTTGATCAGGGGCCTCGTGCCCAGTTTAAGGAGTTTTGAGTTTTAAGCTGAAGAGTAACCAGAACCCACAGGGCGGTTTCAAGGACTACCACGACCAGATTTACCTGCGTGGCTTCAGTGCAGACTCAGGGCTTTGCCCACCAGATTATGCCCAGCGTCCTGCCAGCGCCTGGCATCAGCTGGCTCTCACCAGCATTTGTCGGCTTGTTGGCATTGTGACCGGGTGTGGCGGGGGACTCCATAATGTCTGGGGGTCCATGGAGGGCCTCTGAAGACGCACAAAGCCACCCCGAAGGCAGCGGGCGGGGGTCGGGCCGGCTGTGCGGAGAAGCGCCGGGCGGCCCGCGTCGTCGGGGCCCTCAGGGGACCTGAAGCGCCACAAACAGCCGGCGCGCCCGGGACTCGCGGCTGCCGAGCTTCCAGCTTCCCGAGAGGCGGCCTAAGTGTCGGCTCCCGAACCCCAGCAGCGCGGCCCGGAGCCTCCTGCGGTCCAGGCGCCCAGGTGAGCGCGGCGGCCCAGGCGGGCGGCCCCGGCCCGGCTCCCGGAAGCCCCTGCGCGCCGCCCCGAACGCCCCGCTGCGGCGCGGCCGGCGGCCATCTCCGGGCTGCGGCGGCGGGCGGGCGCCCCAGTGGTGGGCGGTGTCTGCGTGGACCCCGGGACCCTGCGGTGAGGCTCGGGCCCGCGCGGGGGTGCCCCGGGGGTCTTCGGGCGTCGGGCGGCCGCCCGGGGCGGGGCCGGGAGCGGCCAGGGAGGGGGGCGGGCTGGGGGCGCCGGGGCCGACCAGGCCTGCGACCGGCCTCCCCCCCACTCCCTCCCCGGCCTCCTGGCCGCCGCCTTTCCCCCAAGATCGCTTGTCGCCGTAGGAAAAGTGGGACAGGAAAGCACAAGAAAGGAAGCATCAGAGCCAGCCCCCTCCCCCCGCCCCCCACCGGGCAGCCCGCGTTAGCCTGAAGTTGTGTTTCCTTCCATTTCCTTTTCCGTGCTAGTCTGAGCCGCGGTCTGCAGAGCCTGGACCATCAAGCGCTGTAGCGTGGCTCCCTGTCCACCCCGGCGTTGTGTTTTTCTTTATCCTTTTCATTGGCTACGCTGAACAGTGTGTGTGTGCTGGACTGACCACCGCGTTCGTCCCCGGCTCTCGATGTTTAATTTGTTGAGTGGCAGGACCGTGATTTACCTAAGCGGCTCCTTCCATGATGGTGAACTTAACTTACAGGTGTTTTTCTGGCTGTAGCTATTACAAAAAGCAGTTCATTGAACGCCGTTCCGTCTGGTTTGGGGAGCATGGCTATGTGTTTAGGGTATATCCCTCATGAGGCTTGTGATACCTGTTGCAAAACGATCCTCTGAAAAGTTATTCTCACTTTTGTATCCCCACACCCCGACCCCACTCCGTCCCTGTAGCATTTGACAATACCTGGCCCAAGTAGCTTCCAGACGGGCTTTGCAGGAGGTCTCAGAATCAACCCCTGGGTGTTCAAGAGAACTGCCTTGGCTGGCCTTACTCAGGGCTTTTGCTGAAAAGCTCATATTCCTATGAGAATCTTAGTTTTTTGTAAAAATGACTTAGGTTTAGCTTGGACAAACCGCTACAGTCCCTAAATTAAGGGAAAATTCAAGCCGGGGGTAAATGAACGTTTTAATAGCTTAAGTCATACTCTGAAACATGAGTATTGGGACGCTAGAGAAAGTATTATAGAAGATTGTGCTGATGCAGGTCACTAGGTGCTCAAGAAGCTTTCTTGGAAGATACGTAAACAGTTTCAAGTGAGTGACATCATCTCCATCAGTGAAAATAAATGGAATTTGTTTATCCATCCTGTTCACCTTTGTAATAAAATAGAGGGAATTTTTCAGTTTGGTCACATGATCCTAAAATGTACGTTTAAGAGCTTTAAAATGACAATGGATTAATTCATTGCTCACAACTTATAAAGCACAGCCTTCCCTGGCCTTTCTTCCCATTTGGCAGAGCTGGGATCCCTTCTCTGTGAACCCACTTTGTCCTTTACTGCTTCCCTTTACAAGGACAGTGTCCTTGCTTGCTGTCATCATCTCTTGGTCTTTCTAGAATCCCCCTCTGTGAGCTTAGTGTCCATCTCAGTGTTTGGCACATAAGTGGTGATGTGCTGCATGGATTTAGAATGTGACATGTGTTTATTAAATCCAGTTACTTGGCATTCAAGTGAATAAAGTAGAAACCGGAAACAAGGACGGATGCGATCCTCTTTTGGTTATAGGTGTCATCACATTCCAAGAAGCACTGCCAACAGGGCACCTAGGTTTTTTGAAAAAACAATGTTGTTGAGGTATAATTCACTTAAAATGTACCTAAAGTATACAACTCAATGTTTTTAAAATAGTTACAGTATTAATTTTTTAAGTTGTGGTAAAATATATAATATGAAATTTGCTGTTTTAATTATTTTTAAGCGCACCATTCAGTGGCATTAAGTTCATCCACAATATTGTACAGCCATTACCACTATCTATTTCCAAAATTTTTCCAACACTTTAAGCAGATACTCCATTAATAAATGGTGAGTGTATGAATGAATTTGATAGTTTACAGACAAATATTTAAAAATAAATGTACTCTTGATTTCTAACCTCCCTTGTAATTTGTTATATTGTCTTTTATCTACTTCTTTATGGAAAAAGTTGTAATGAAGATGGCACTGTGCTTTATCTTAGGGTGATAATATTTGAAATTCTTTATAATGGAAAATGGGTCAATTCTTTCAAGTTTGCTGAATTATTGAATTTTCTAAAGTCTCTAAAAGTTGTAGAGCAAAATTTGAATGATATTCCTAGTCCACTTTGATTTACAAAGATGCCTTATCCAAATTTATATTGTGCTGTTTGGCTTATTCTTTTGCTATATTTTCTCTTTGCTTTTGTAGTTGCAGGATACTCTCCACTTTCATAGGAGCTATCCTAGGGCTTCTTAAGACTAGAAAAATCCACAAAGTTATAAGGTTCTAACTAAACAGGGATGGGAAGAGCACAAGGGACCATAGTGATAGTTTACTGGCGGTGGGATATTTATGGGGACTACATCTGAGAGAAGTCAAATACTGTACAAAAATGAATAACAATGTAGAAAAATTAAATGATTAATAAAAGGAAAACAAAAAACAAAAATGTTTTGAATCTTTACCTAGTTTTCATTCTAAATTTTTATCTATTCTTTGCTTGTTGGATTGCTTTTAAGTGTGCAGACCTCTTCATTAATACCTTTCAAAAAATGATTTGTGACATCTGACTATTTCCAGCCAAAAAAGACTGGCAATATCTCATTTTTAAAAAGGAGAGCACACTTGGCTAGGCTAGGGTAGATCTTGGGAGTAAAAAAATTGCTCAGTCTGTTTTTTAGTAGGTATGGGAAGGATACAGTTTTAGCCCCAAATCGTCAAATGTGGAGGGTTTCCTGTGCATGTGAATAATGTGTTTCTGCTTCTGTGAAAATTAGCACCACAGCCCAGCTACTGTGTAGTTAAATGTACCAGGAGTGCTGGGCTCTTGTTCTGACTTGGGAACTGCTAGTGATGTGAGCAAACCATATAACTTTTGTGGATTTGTTATTGGTAGTAGTGAATAAACTGGGCTTGAGTAAGTGTCACCGAATTAGAAGGCAAACAAGTATATATCCCTGGCTGCTTCCTGAAAACTCAACATTTCTTTGAATTTATCTAAAAAAAAAAAAAAATTTAAGTATTTAGTACACCACAACATAGTCTTCTAAAATTTAAGCTAAAGATTACATTTTTAATTTGTTACTGCTCTGTAACATTGATGCTACCAGAAGATCATTTCTGTTTATCCTGGAGTTTAATGTATACCCTTGGGGCTCCTTTTGCCTCAGTATGAGAAGCATGGGACCCAGAGGACTTCTAGATCTCTTGCAGCTCTGATGTGATATAATACTTGAAATAAGCAAGAATTTATTCTGTAGTTTTAGGATATTATAAATCCATAACAGGGAAAAATATGATAAGTCAATTTACATGACTTATTTCCCTGGAAAATTGGAAATTGCAATTATATTGTATGTAAAAGCTGTTTTCATCAGAAACTGCATGCAATTTAAGAAATGAATCGCAAAGTTTCAAAAATCCTTTGCAGATGCTATCTTTGTTGCTCTCAACCTTTCTTTGCTGCAATTCTGCTCTTTTCTTTCCTGCCTGCTAATTGGATTAAAGACTGTTTTGCTAACCATGGCATCTGGAGATGACAGTCCTATCTTTGAAGATGACGAAAGGTAAATGTCTTACATTGCAATAAAATTGCATTTGAAACTTTCAAGATTGTTTTACTCATTCAGAACAGCTATCCAGTCCACTTTTTTAGGGACACATTTCATAAAATTTTAGAATGCCTGGTTTTATTTCTCTGTGATTTAGAGCAAGGCTAGTAAATACCTGGCATGAAGGTGACTACCTCTAATGTGACATCCTTTCCCATAGGACAAGGCTGTAAGGTCCAAATTCCTTGAATTACAAAGTTCCTGAAGTTCTCACTTTAAAATGATTTAAACTCCATTTGCCATCTCTGATCTAGAGCACACAGAGATTAGAATGAATGAACAGTAGGATGAACAGGCTCTGACGCATGAGTGCTAGGTTTAAATTCCATCTCTGTTACTTCCTGTCATTGTGACCTTAGATGAGTCCTTAACCTCTCTCTTTTTTTTTTTTTTAAAGATTTATTTATTTATACAACAGTCAGAAGTGTGGGAGGGTGAGAGAATTCACCACAGCCAGAGCGGGGAGCAGAGCAGGCAGAAGGGCCGAAGTACACTGCTGAGGGGAGCAGCGGGCGGCAGGAGAGGTCTGTGCGCCATGTGGGACCCTCCTCCGGTAGCCGGGGAGCAGCTGGGGATCAAACTGGCGCTGCAGAGGCTGCGGGCAGCTTCTCAACCCAGCGTTCAACCACTGCACCACCGGGGAGGCCCTCCTTAACCTCTCTTGAACCTCAGTTCCCTCATTTATAAAACAGGGATAGTAATATCACGTATCTCATGCCAAGGAATCTACAAGTTAATATGTATAAAGCTCTTAGAACAGTGACTGACATACAGCAAGCAGTTAATAACTTTTCTGTAATCATTATTACTATAATAAATATTACTTTCCTCAAATAGAGAAATTATACCAATGTCAAAATATTTATCACATAGCACATATTTGGGAGGAGAGCTTCTTATAATAGAAACTTTTACATAGAGTCCATTATTTTTTTTAAGATTTCCTGGAGTGATGACAAGAATGACTTTTTTTCCTCATAACATTTTTATTTCTATTATAGGACATTCCGGGATCTCTCTTTTCTTCAGCCTTAGAATAAAAAATTAGAACCCTTTTTGTGAACCCCTAGTCATTAGTTAAGTATGGAAGGTTTAGAGAGTTCTTATTTGGTAGTGATTGCATCTGAAAAACAAACCACCATAATTACATACTGTGCTTTTTAAATGAAGTGAAGGAGAAGCAGAGAGTTTTTTTTACTGACCTTTCCAAGTATTATTCTGTAGCCTATCTTAGAACACTAATGTGGATAAACTGATAGATTCTAAATCCTATTAATATTAAGGTGACTTTGTTTGGAATTATCTGGCTAAATAGCCTTATATAGTAGTTTCATCTTAAAGGAAGAGTGTATATAAGAAAAAGAAGATGTAAGATTGCTTAGGTAATGTCATTTTATTTTGTAACTTCAGGGGTTTTAAAAATCATATTTTCTTCTTGGAAGGATTAATTGGTTTTTCAATCACTATATCTTTTACCAATTATAACTGCTTTATTTCCTTAGCCCTCCTTATAACTTGGAAAAAATGACAGATCTTGTAGCTGTTTGGGATGTTGCTTTAAGTGACGGAGTCCATAAGATTGAATTTGAACATGGAACCACATCAGGCAAAAGAGTGGTATATATTGATGGGAAGGTAAGAAAAAAAATATGTTGCTTTGTATAATAAAAACATGGTATCAGAGAAACCTGATTTTGTTAATCTAGATTCTCATATGTGAATTCAAGTCTTTTCTATTATTGTGGTTATCTTTATACTTTGGCAGATATCATTTTCCTAAGAAAAGCACACTAATATTGGTTACAAAATTCATAGGCTATACTAATATCTAATGTTTAAACTTAAATTGCCTTTATTTTCTAAAACCTTGTGTCATACATTAATAAACTTATATCTAGGTCCTCCCTGGTGGCCTAGGGGTTAAGTCTCAGCACTATCATCACTAAGGCCTGAGTTCGATCCCTGGCCAAGGAGCTACCCACATGGTGCAGCAGACCTCTCTTGACTTGCCCGCTGCTCTCCTCAGCAGTGTATTTCAGTCAGTCTGCCTGTTCTGCTCCCCACTCTGTCTCTGGTGAATCCTCTCAACCCTGTACCTCTGGCCTACATTAAGTTCTTCTATGCAAAAATAAATAACTCTTTTTTTTAAAAAAAATTACATCTAAATAGCATTACCATTTGCTCACTTAAATTATTTCTAAAATTAGATATTAATTTTTTTTCCGTTTGTTTGTCTATATTTTATCACTTAGGAAGAGATTAGGAGAGAATGGATGTTCAAATTAGTAGGCAAAGAAACCTTCTGTGTTGGAGCTGCAAAGACAAAAGCAACCATAAAAATAGATGCTGTCAGTGGTTTTGCTTATGAATATACCCTGGAAATTAATGGGAAAAGTCTCAAGAAGTATATGGAGAACAGATTAAAAACCACCAATACCTGGATATTATGTTTGGATGGTGAAGACATTAGAGTTGTGTTGGGTAAGTGGTGCTGTTCTGCAGAATATATTGGCTTCTTATGATGGCTACTTAATTAGTTCCTCTAACTGTACAGGCCTTTTATGGGAGCTGTGAGTAGGAGAGGGTGTGTATTTCTAATATATCCTGTATAAATGAAGTATTTGTTTAATAGACTTATTTATATAGGAAACATAAGAGAACCAGGTTTTATAGTGATGGATTTGAGGATTATATGCTTGGGTTTAAAAAAAAAGAGAAATGATGTAGACATTTATTATTTGATATTTCTCTTACTTTAGATTTATTTATTTATGCATATAAGAATTGGGGTGAAGGCCAGAGGTGTGTGGGGTGAGAGTATTTACCAGAAACAGAGTGGGGAGCTGAATAGGGGGTCTACTGAAGTACACTGCTGAGGGGAGCAGAAGGCAAGGCAGGAGAGGTCTGTGGGGGATCAAACTCAGTCCTTAGCGGTGATAGTGGTGAGACTTAACCCCCGATGCTACCAGGCAGGCCACTGATATTTCTCTTTAAAAGCATGTGTAGGGCCTCCCTGGTGGCGCAGCAGTTGAGCGCTGGGTTGCGAAGCTGACCAAAGCCTCTGCAGCACCGGTTCGATCCCCGGCTGCTCCCGGGCCACCGGAGGAGGGTCCCACATGGCGCGCAGACCTCTCCTGCCGCCCGCTGCTCCCCTCAGCAGTGTACTTGGGTCCTTCTGCCGGCTCTGCTCCCTGCTCTGGCTCTGGTGAATTCTCTCACCCTCCTGCACTTCTCACTGTACCCACTGCTTGTATAAATAAATAAATAAATCTTAAAAAAAAAAAAAAAAAGTATGTGTAAATTTGGGCATCCCTGGTGGTGCAGGGGTTAAAGTCTCAGCACTTTCACGCTATCGCCAGCCACTGCCACTGTTGCCAGCCACTGCAACATGAGTTCAATCCCCAGCCAGGGAGCTAACCCACATAGTGAAGCTCACCTCTCCTGTCTTGCCTGCTGCTCCCCTCAGCAGTGTATTTCAATGGATGCACCTGTTCTACTCCCTACTTTGTCTCTGGTGAATCCTCTCACCCCCCCACACCTATGGCTTACACCACAGTTCTTGTATGCATTAAAAAAAAAATCTAAAAAATAAAGCATACGTAAAGATAGTTGGAAATTTAAGATTCATCATTAAGAAGGGAATTTTTCTCTACATGGGACTGCAGCAGATCAAAATCATCAAAGTCCTGATAAAGTAGATTTTAAAAATAAATAGAACAAGTCAATGTTTGTTAAGCTAATTTCTGTTGTTATATATTGTCATCTATGTTCTCAGTTTCTATTGCAAAGCTTGCAAGACAGATATTTTTACTGTTACTACCTTTTCTTTCTTCTGGTTACTTCTAGTATGTCCTGCTTCTTATACCACTAAGTTAAGACTATTTAGATCATCTTGTTAATGTATTGATTTACTTATTTAGATAATATTAAGTACATATTAAATGCCAGTTGTACTGTACCAGGTAATAAAGATCCATAGGTGAACATACTTTGTCTATAGTTTAGTTGAATGCTTGCAAATTACTTTTTAAAAAAAAAATTTAAGAATGAAGAAGTTTGTCAACTTGGAAAAAAAAAAAAAAAAGCCATAAACTCCAGTATACTTTACTGGAAAAACTGGGTCAGTTTGTCTTGAAGAGTTTCCTATGGTCTAGATTTTGTTGATTGCACTCTTGGCAATATTACTTTGTCTTTGATATTGCCTGTAAATTGGTAGTTGAGAATTGGTCAAATGTACATTTGATTTTTTTCTGGCAAGACCACTTTAAGGTTTTTTATGTCAAGAGGCACAATGGTGTTTATTGTAAATTTGTTAATGGCAGCCATTAATACCTAGTGCCAATATCCATTCATTAGCAGTTGTCAAATGGTAATGTTTTGTTTCTATCATTCTTAGTTCATTAGCTGGAATACGTCTATAGCAAGAAACTTCTATCATCTAATTATTTATACAGAGGTACATTTTATATAGGGCATGTAGGATAGCTGCTTGTTTTTCCCAGTTTTCAAAATTTTGAATTGACTGTTCTCCTTGAAAGATGACCATTTAGGTTTTGTTTTTTTTTTTTAAAGATAATTAACTCATAGATTTAAACAATTTGATGTGTTTCAGTACATTACAACTATTATCTTTATTGATGATCAAATTGTGCCATTTGGGGCCAATGTGGTTTCCTTATATGGCTCCAAAATTCCTTTGACATAGCCTAGGTAGATTTTGATACCTTCCTTGCTGTCTGGTATAAGATGCTTTAGGCTTATTTTGAACCTTTTCTTCCCAGACCTAGAATCACCCATTTTTCCAATCAGCCTTGGATTCTATTAGAAGAAAATGGTATTTTAAGAGCTTAATCCAAGCATACATAATAGGATGTTCATTTATTATTTATAGATTTTCAGTGGATGGATAAAGTAATAGATGGAGAGCCTTTTTGTGAAGATAAAGTAGCTTATGAGTTCATACTGATACTTGTAATTCAAATTCAGGAATACCATGTTTTTACTTAACCTCATCTAACATCTGTACATCCTTTCTTCCACACTGAGAATCTTCCTTCTCAAGGACACAGAGGATGATGCAATTAAAATATGACATAATTGGGCCTCCCCAGTGGCGCAGCGGTTGAGCGCTGGGTTGCGAAGCTGCCCGCGGCCTCTGCGGCGCCGGTTCAATCCCCGGCTGCTCCCCGGCCACTGGAGGAGAGTCCCACATGGTGTGCAGACCTCTCCTGCCGCCCGCTGCTCCCCTCAACAGTGTACTTTGGTCCTTCTGCCTGCTCTGCTCCCCGCTCTGGCTCTGGTGAATTCTCTCACCCTCCCGCGCTTCTGACTGTACCCAGTGCATGTATAAACAAAACAAACAAACAAACAAATAAATAAATAAAACATGCCTCTCTCTCTCTATATATATATAAAATAAAATAAAATAAAATATGACATAATTAATCATTTGCTCTGTGGCATATTACATACATAATAGTCTCAATTAGCAACATAAACACTACCACCATTATGTATTGCCAAATAATTTAAAACATTTTCTTGCATATCATTTTCCATTTGTACTGTATGTACTTTGTCAGAGCATATTACCATTATATACTATGTCCTGTCCCTTCCAACCCACACTTTTCTATAAGTAAATATTTATTCCTTCAAAATCATTATACTTTTCCTTCTCTCTGATCATTTCACTTCTCTAAAACTTGTTCTTTAGTACATTCCATAGGAAAAACTCATGAGAACAGTTTTCCTTGAGTTCTTGCATGTTGGTGACATTTGTCTGTGTCATTTATATTAAATGTCAGTTGCTAAATATAATATTTCTGATTTTGTTGATTGCACTCTTGGCTATATTCCTTTGTCTTTAATATTGCCTGTAAATTGGTAATTGAGAATTGGTCAAATGTACGTTTGATTTTTTTCCTGGCAAGACAACTTTATGGTTTTTTATCTTAGACGTATTGTTCTACATTCTGTATAAATGGTAATTGTCAAAATATCAGATGACAATCTAATTTTATTTCCCGTAAAAGTTCATTGGTGTTTTGTCTAATTTTATTAACTTGTCAGGATAATGATCATTTTTTGGGTGTATGGTGAATCTTTTCAATATGTAAAGTTAAATTTTTTGGTGACTTTTCTTGGGCTGGGGGGTAGGGAGTCATCTTTATCTTCCAAAATTTCACAATGGTGTGTTTAGAAATGTAGTGGCTCACTCTTCAATAAAATTTGAGAATGTCTCCATCTCATTAGGCAAAATGGAAGAGAATACCTAAGCTGTGCCTAGCTCATAATTCTTTCAAATACCTAGGATCATGTACTTGTGTCTTCTCTTAGGGCTTTAAAATCCTTTTTTGTCCTTCACTTCTTGTCTGCCTTCACTCCTCTCTATTTGTAGCCCTTGATGAGCCTGCAAGGGAAATAAATTTCAGACCAAGCTTATTCCTTTTGCTGCTTGTTTGAAAGGAACTTGGTAAAAGGACCAGGCCAGAGTCTTTTGCTGAGGTGAGGGCAAAATTGCTGAGAGCATTCATTTTGCTTGAGCTTCCACTTCCAAGATCCACCAACTCCAGGCTATTGTGACTAAGGTCTACATTTTGCAGTTTAGTGATGAAGAATGCTGACTCCAGTATCAGAACTGTGTGGTGGGCAAATTCTTCATCTCCCAGTCTTGGTCTCCTCTTCTGTAAAATGGGGCTAGTAAGAGTATCTCCCTCACAAAGTTGTTGGTGGTTGTAGTTTAACAGAGTTAATACATATAACATATTTAATAGTATTTCTCACATCATGGGATCTTTAAATATGTTTTTTGTAGTTACTATGGGCAAAGAATGGGCTTATCTAAGGTATTGGAGTGATGATTACTTATATATTATATGACCAGTTTCAAATCACAGTGTTTTATAACTTTCTAAACATTATGAGAAGTTAAAAGAAAACAAAGCCAAAAAAGCACTTGATAACAAAACTGGTACATTTTTACTGAGGCCATATTCTGTGGCAGATACTATGCTAAGCACTTTACATAAATTCTTTTTTTTTTTAAGATTTATTTATTTATGCATACAAGAACTAGGGTATAGGTCAGAGGTGTGGAGGGGCGGGGGGTGAGAAGATTCACCAGAGACATAGTGGGGAACAGAACAGGCAGACTGACTGAAATACACTGCTGAGGGGAACAGCAGGCAAGTCAGGAGAGGGCTGCTGTGCCATGTGGGTATCTCCCTGGCTGGGATCGAACTTGTGCTGCAGTGGCTGTGGATAGCTCCATAGGTTGTGTCTTAACCCCTTGCGCCACCAGGGAGGCCCGCTTTACATAAATTATTTCTAATCTTGATAACAGCCTGCAATAAAAGTGGGTTCATCTTCATTACACCATGAGAAAATTTGAGGTTAATTGATCCTCAGAGTGGTGGTGACTTGAAGAATGGTTACTGATAGTAAATCATGAAGCTGGAATTCGAACCCAGGCCTCTGTGAACTCGAAGATAATGATAATGCACTTCTTTTTCACTATTCAAAAGATGTGCAGCACACAGGGGACCAAAGACTAGAATAGTTAAGTGTTGTTAGGTCTAGAAGTTGCCAAACCACTGAACACTGTGGGAGGAAAATAAAGACTGCAGGAGGAAGGTATTGTTATGATGAAACTTTATGTTGGGAGGAAATTTTCTTTCTGTTCTGAAACCTTGCACTTCTGTGAAATCATCTGCAGAACATGCCTTCTCAGGACTCGCCTGTAGACTCCCTTGCTGCTGGTCATTCAGTCATGTGGGCTGAGAGAATTTGCAGACAGTAGAGGCAGGCTCCAAGTATCTTCTATGATTCAGAGAATAAACTTCTGAGCTGTCATTGACTTTATGTGTTTAGGTATATTATGTACTTTTTAAAATATATTTGAACAGGTGATATATACTCTGAATCAGAAATCAAAAGGATATGAAAAGATACATTGAGAAATCTTGCTTCCACCCTGTTTACTTCATAAAGATAGCAATTTTAATAGTAATTCCTTATAGTGTTTCTTTATTCAGATGCAAGTAATACAAATATTTTATTACTTCCTATTTTTTTAAAGATTTATTTATTTATGCATGTAAGAGTGAGGGTATAGGCCAGAGATGCAGGGGGTGAGAAATCCACCAGAGACAGAGTGGGGAACAGAACAGGCAGATTGACTGAAATACACTGCTGAGGAGAGCAGCTGGTGAGACAGGAGAGGTCTGCTGCGCCATGTGGGTTGCTCCCTGGCTTGGCGGGTATTGAACTCGTGCTGTGGATTGCTTCATAGTGAGGAGCTTAATCCCTTGCGCCACCAGGGAGGCCCTATTAGTTCCTACTGCATAAAAACATCTTGCCTTATTATTAGAGTGTTTTGTAGATTCTTTTATATCAGTACAGAAAGAACTTTTCCAACTTTTTTATAGAATCAGAATAAATTTCATTAGTAAATAGAAGAGTTTCCTTAGTTCATACCTGGCTGATGGGCACTGTGCTATTTCTAATCTGCTGCTGTCAGAGCAATATTGAATGAGTTTGTTTACTTGGCTCTTAGGAAACAGTGCATATATCTGTTTAGGATAAATCCCCATATTTGCTGAGTCAAAGAATTGCAATTGTCATTTTAGTAGATTTTACCCAGATGCCCGCTGTGGTGCTTTTATCATTTTATATTCCTACCTATTTCTCCACAAGTTCACAGGTTTTCAGTGTTGTTTTTATTTGCTTTTCTTCAAAATTTAGTGAGGGGCCTCCCTGGTGGCACAGGCCATTGAGCGTGCCGCTGTGAGGCTGTCCTCAGCCTCGGCAGTGCTGGTTCGATCCCCACCAGCCTCGGAGCAACCCACATTGTGCAGCAGACCTCTCCTGTCTTGCCCACTGCTCCCCTCAGCAGTGTTTTTCGTCATTTTGCCTGTTCTATTCCCCACTCTGTCTCTGGTGAATCCTCTCATCCTCCCATGCATCTGGCCTGTACCCTGGTTCTTGTATAAATAAAAAATAATAAAACCTTTTTTAAAAAAAACAAAAAACAAAATTGAGTGAGGTTGAGCAGCTTAGTGTTTAAGGGTCTTTTTGTGTCCTTTGTCCCATTTTCTTTTGGATTGTTGGTCTTTTTATCCTCGATTGCTAGGAGTCTTCATTTTAGTAATGTCAGCCCCTTGTGCTGTGAGTGTGTCACTTGTTGTATAACTTCGCTTATGTGTTTGCTCAGTATTTTTTAAATCATGCAGACATATTTTTTACTTTTATGTAGTCTAATTTATTCCACTCTTTTATGGCTTCTAGATTAGCGATTTTCTTCAGAGGTGTATCAATAATAAGGTGTTATAGAAAATCTTGAGTATATGCATATGTTTAGGAGCCATACAAATAAAACTCCAATTTTCCCCACCATTGTGGTTTATTTTAGCATTGTGTGTCTAATCGTGTGCTTGTACACGCTGGGTTTCCCTGTGGTTGTGACTGTAGATGCTTCCCACTCAGACAGTTTGGGGCAACCCTTGCCTTTCTCTCTCTTCCTCTATCCCAAGCTCGAGCTGTGGGGAGAAAATCTGTTCCTGGAGCTAAGTCCTGTCAGAGTCAAGCTCACCTTGAGCTCCAGGCAAGTGTTTGATCTCTGCACTCCTCCTGCACCCACACGTCACACTTCACTTTGCTTTTTTCTAATACCGAAAGCTCACCTTCTGGCTGCTTGATGAGAGCCATCTCCTCTCGTACTATCCCCAGGGAGTACATTCACAAGCACATTTGTGCCTATGGGTGCGCATACACACATCACCCTGAAATGAGTCATGAGGGCTTAAAGTCCAAGTTTCATGGTAGCATTTTATTCCACGGTGTCAGCACTATACTAAACACAATTCACCAGATGTACCTAGAATTTTTTCCCAAAGCCTCAACTATTATAAAAATGAATAGAGATGATTGTGCTATGCAGTAAGAAAGTTAAACTAAATTTCTAAACTTTACATACTTTCTGTCTATCTTAAATGAGCCCCGTGGCAGCTCTTTTTGTGGCCTCATCATCCTATTGGGTCAGTGTGAAAAGTAAAGGGAATGAGTCATCAAGTCACTGATATTTAAGGATTTATGTGGAAAGGTCCCTCATATTCCTTTATGTGTATCTCCTTTAATGACTGCTTCAGCTTTTTTTTTTTTTTTAACAGTTTTCAATTTATATTAGGACCACAATTTTATCTTAAATTTTGTTTTGTTTCATTTTTGTCTATGAACAAAAAATGAATATATTTTCTTCAGATTTATAAGAGTTTCAAATCCATGTGTTAAGTTTTGGAATATTAGTGGAGTCTTTTAAATTCAGTATAGCAAACTTTTCTTCAAATAATAAGTATAAAGAGTTAACTTCATCTTTAAACCACAGCTGTTAATTTTTTAAAATTTCTGTTACAGAAAAAGACACAATGGATGTTTGGTGCAATGGAAAAAAAATGGAGACAGCAGTAAGTTGAACTTCTGATTTCTCTTACCACCATGTCTATCAGTTACCACTGAAATGTTTCTGTGCTTCCTAATCACAGAGCCTTTAGAACTAACCAAGGCCCACTTGGTTAAAAACAAAAAAAGAGATTAAGTATTCCTCACTCCAAATTCTGAAGACCTCTCCCAGACAGTGCGTGGGCAGTAAGTTTGGCCACACTTATGTGGTGAGCTGACACCAATCTCATCTTTCCCTTTCATCTCCTAGACCAGGTGCTGCCCTGAAAAGAGTTTCCATGTTAAAAAAAAAACAAAAAAAAAAAACAAAACATGGAACTTCTCTCCCAAGGGCTGGCATCCTCCTCTGTTTATCCATGTTAAAAGGGTGCTTTATACCACTGCTTCTCAAACAAGATCACCTGGGATCTTGTTAAAATGCAAGTTCAAACATTTCCCCAGCTGATGCCAGGCCAACTGGTCCGTAGGTGACACTTTGAATAGGAAGGCTTTATACCAAATGCTCAAAGCATATGGAACTTTTCTAAAAGCAAAGTTTTTGAAAATCAAGTGATGCATACAGTGTCAGATGACAAAGGCAGACAGGAAGAGGGTGTCCTTCTCATTTGTGTCCAAGCCTGTTGAAATCCAATCCAAACCCCAGGGCATTCAGCTTTTGCTCCCAGATACTTGCATTGTTATAGCTATGGAAGAGATGAACATAGAAATGAATTTCACATAGGAATGAAATAATAATGTGTACACAAACACAGGGAGAACATGGAAAGAGACTGTAGGGAAGCAGGGAATATGGGAATAGGAGCTGAAATCACTGGGTGGAAATGCCCCGTTACCTGAACACCGACAAGAGATAATGAAATGCTCTCATCGCTAGTCATATTTTAGCTAATTGCATATTGGAATTGCTACCATTATCTCCTTTATCTAATATGGCTATAGGAAGTTGGGCAGTGATTGGACGGAAGGTAGGCTTGGAGGAATTTATCCAACAGACTTCCTAGAACCTGCTGATCTTTTAGATGTCTGCTTCTCAGGAAGTGCTGAAGTCAGAATCAAAGATTCAAAGTGCCAAGAATCAGTAGCAGGAATAAGAAACAGTTGCTTTACAGTTTCTTAATCCTGCTACTGATTCTTGAAGGGAAATTTAACCAGGGCTCACTCAAAATTGATCCTCAGTGCTTGAACCACTCTCTGAATTAAATCTACTACTACTGGAGACTTCTTTTATGCAGAGAGGCTTGAAGAGCTTTCCTGTATTTTATGACCCCTTTTGCAACAACTTCAGATATTGCTGACATGGGTGGGGTACCTACTGTGTTCCCACTGCCACAACTGGGGGCTCTACTTGTTATTTCTTTCCTTCCTGAAGTTTTCTAGATGGAGAATCAGCAGTTTTGAATCACATTTCTCCCTACCTCCAATGAATTTTTCAGTGCAAATGTAAAGAATGTTTTGTAAATAAGTAAGACATTAAAAATGTTCCTCTACAGTGTCCTGTAATTGACAGGAGACTACGAATACTTGGACACCTACTCTGTATAGCCTGGTTGCCTCCTCATTGTTAACTACAGCCTCATTTGTAGGGCAGTGTTGGCAGCTTCATGTCCGACAACCTCTGCAGCTCTCTGCATACCTGCTTTCACTGCCTATGAGTTACAGCCTAGGTTTCCCTTTTTCTTTTAATCTCAGAGCACCATGATCAAGATTATGTATTTGTCAAACTGCCAAGAAGTTACCTATAGGGATTATATTATTCAGCCCTTGTCTTGCCCTCTAAATTGACCTCTCAGAAACATGACCTACAGGCTTTCTTCAAGCCTCAATATTAAAAAAGGTGAGAGCACCACTGCACTCCAGGTGCAGCACACCCATTCCTCTGTGATGTTTGGGACACCTCCAGAAAGGGCCGTTGGCCAAATTCTTCCCAGAGCTAGGAAAATGCTTGTTTCCCTTATATACCCTGTACTTTAAGAGTCTTAAAAATGAAGGGAATACAACTAAGAAACAAAACTTTAAGTCATAGCAGATGTGTGTGAAAGTATCCATGTACAACCTTTTTTTTTTTTTTTTAAAGATTTATTTATTTATGCATACACAAACTGGAGTACAGGCCAGAGGTGCGGGGGACGGTGAGAGGATTCACCAGAGACAGAGTGGGGAACAGAACAAGAGGAATGACTGAAATATACTGCTGAGGGGAGCGGTGGGCAAGTCAGGAAAGGTTTGCTGCACCATGTGAGTAGCTCCCTGGCTGGGGATCGAACTCGTGCTGCAGTGGCTGTGGATCGCTTCATAGGTTGTGTCTTAACCCCTTGCACCACCAGGGAGGCCCCCAAATACAACCTTCTGACTTTAATTTTGTAAAATTAATTTTTCACTAGACATACTTCTTCATACCTTCCTCATAGATGGTGTTACTGCTCTACACAAAGATAAATATTCCTTAACACTAATTCCTTCTTCTTCTGTTTGCCTAGGGTGAGTTTGTAGATGACGGAACTGAAACTCACTTCAGTATTGGCAACCATGACTGTTACATAAAGGCTGTCAGTAGTGGGAAGCGGAAAGAAGGCATTATTCATACTCTCATTGTGGATAATAGAGAAATCCCGGAGATTCTTTAATGAATTTTAATCTTCATAAGTAAAGAGCAGGACACTTAAATTAATGTGGTAATTAAGTGTATTCATTATGTATTTCTCAGTACAGTTAGTCTGCCATGATTTCATTTTTTAGTTTCTTAAAACGAATGTTCCAAGGGCCAGGAAAAAAATTATGTACAAACAGAAAAATTACCACTTATTTTGTAAATAATGTAAAATGTTCTAAAGCCAAATGGAAAATATGGACCAAAAATGCTAATGTTTTACATGAGGAGCTTTTACTATAATAAATACTATAAAACTGGTGTTTTGTGTTTCTAAAAATTGGTGCCTTTTTATATTTGTAATCCATATACACAGATTGCCTCTCTTGTTTAAAATCATTAGTGCATAGTAAGATTAGCTTCACTGGAGAAAATGAGAAACATCTTATGATCTGCAAACAATATTAAGGAAATGTCAAAAAAATTTAATTAAAAATGGAGTTCTAAAATTACAGCTATTTTGTTTAATCAGAACAGTGAGGACAGGACCTCCCTGGTGGCGCAAGGGGTTAAGCACCGCACTGTGAAGCAATCCGAAGCCTCTGCAGCATGAGTTCAATCCCCAGCTGGCCAGGGAGCAACCCACATGGCACAGCAGACCGCTCCTGTTTTGCCCGCTGCTCCCCTTAGCAGTGTATTTCAGTCAGTCTGTCTGCTCTGCTCCCAACTCTGTCTCTGGTGAATCCTCTCATCATCTGTACCTCTGGCCTGTACCCCAGTTCTTGTAAGCATAAATAAATAAATCTTTAAAAAAAAAAAAAAAAAAGAATAGTGAGGACAAAAAAAAAAAAAAAAGAGGAAGAAGCAAACTTCTTTACACCAGGCTACACCACTTCCATTCTAGGGTGGTTTTTTCAAAGTTAGAGGTGCGGACCTGCATCTGCAGGGAGCACCAGTGGCAGCACTTTGGGGACAAAAGCAGATGACTGATTCACAGAGAACACCAAGTCAATGTGTTAAGTACTTCAGATAGTTTCAGGACTCTTCTTTGAAGTTCTTTCACGGCAGGATATAGCTTCTCTTGTGGTATTTTATGTTATCACATGGTGATCCTCCGTGAGTGGGGGAATTCTCCATTTTTTCGACGTGTTCTGTCCAGTATGGTAGCCATAGTTATATAGCTCTTCAAGTTAAATTAAATATAATTAATGCCCTTTATTACTATATCCCTATCATTAATATATTTCTAAGATTTTTCGGCAGAACAGAGGCAAAACCAGATTTGAATTTTTCAAAATTTTTTTTAAAGATTTATTTATTTATGCATACAAGAACTGGGGGACAGGCCAGAAGTCGGAGGTGGGGGGAACAAGAGGATTCATCAGAGACAGAGTGGGGAACAGAACAGACGGAATGACTGAAATACACTGCTGAGGGGAGCAGTGGGTGAGTCAGGAGAGGTCTGCTGTGCCATGTGGGTTGCTCCCTGGCCGGGGATCGAACTCATGCTGCAGTGACTGCGGATAGCTTCATAGGTTGCGTCTTAACCCCTTGTGCCACCAGGGAGGCCCAGATTCGAATATTTCTAATACCAGTGAGAAAGAACTAAGGGGCAGGAGAGCGGTGAGGAAAGGTGGCTGAGATGGGCCTGGGCCAGGCAGACAACATGCTTGGTGGGAGAGTAAACATTACTGTCAACCTTCAACAACTACTATTTTTCTTAATTTGAAGTCTTTACAAATTACAAATTGGCACATCAGCATACTGCCTTTACAAAAAGTATCCCCCATCTTTCCCCATGCCACCCCAGAGCTTTTTATCACTGCCACTGAGACACCAGAACATGAACTCTAGGAACGCTTCTGAGGCGTATTATACTCACATTATCTAGAGTCCTAGTATCTATAGGGTTCAAAATCCATGCTTTTCATTGTGTGTCATGTACCTCAGCAAACACTTGGGAATATAGTCTGATTTAGTTTTGTGGAGACTAACTTTGGGGTGTACTTTTGCCTTTGACTTGGTGAACCCATATTTTGTTTTAATTCAAAGCCACATGGTAATATAGGAGTATTTTGCACTGAATGAGGAAAATAACAACATATCAAGACTTAGGATACAGATAATTGTTATAAAAGCTACAGGTAAATATGATAAAGGCTAAAATCAGCTAAGCAACCTTCTCATACAATTGGAAAGGGCAATAATGTCAAAGTAAATCCAAATAGAGTAGAAGAAAGGAAATTATAAAGGTAAATGGAGAGACAATGACAACAGAAGATCAAAAAGTGAAAAAAACAATTCTTTGTAAAGATCATTACAACTGATAAACTTCTAGTGAGACTATTTCAGAAAAGAGAAGGCACTAATAATACCCAGTAATATCCAGTAACAAGAATGAAAAGGAGGCCATTACTATCCATTCTGAAACATTAATAAATTCTTAACACATGAATTACTTCATAAAATAAATCTGAAAATGTTAATGAAATACATTCCTAGGAAATGACGACTCATTAAAACACACAATTTAAGATATAAAAATCAGATTATTCCCCTAGCTATTAAATCCATACCTCAAAGAAAACACCTATCATTAGAAAAATTCTGTCAAACTTTGTTCTTTTCTGAAAAGATTTTATTTACATACATGGTGGGGGAGAAACTCAGTCTTTCTTGGTGGCCACCTACCTAAGGGCAGTCATGGTTGCTCTTTCTCTTTTAGCTCAGATGTATGCTCCCATCCCTTTTTTGATGAACTTCAGGGCTTCCTTGTTCTTGGAAACTTTGGACAGCGTTGTGGGGCACTTTGCCTCTGGGGCAGAGCCCCACAACTCTAGGATCATGTCCCATAGGTACTAGGACTTGGTGTGCTTGGTGGGTGCCTGTGGTGGCAGTTATGCCTCCGCTTGTTCGTGTTCTTAGTTACCATGTAGCTCTTGCTGAGGCCCACAGTCAAGGGTAGCACTGAGGCTTGCTGCTGCTCAAAATGGATGCTGCAGAGGAAGGGCAGTGCCATGCAAAACTTTGGGATATCTATCAAAACTTTTATTTTTTTTAAGATTTATTTATTTATTTATACAAGCATTGGGTACAGTCAGAAGCGCGGGAGGGTGAGAGAATTCACAGAGCAGGCAGAAGGACCGAAGTACACTGCTGAGGGGAGCAGCGGGCGGCAGGAGAGGTCTGCGCGCCAGCGCCATGTGGGACCCTCCTCCGGTGGCCGGGGAGCAGCCAGGGATCGAACCGGCGCTGCAGAGGCTGCGGGCAGCTTCGCAACCCAGCGCTCAACCGCTGCGCCACCGGGGAGGCCCCTATCAAAACTTTCAAGTAAGAAATCTTATTTGTCTTGTAAGATCACAAAAACTTATTTGCAAATGAACCTGTCCCAGACCTTAAAAGGTATTTATGAGCAATTTCATTGATCAAAATAGATGTCAAAAATTCCAAATGAAATATTAGCAACTCAAATCCTACACTATATAAAAATACTAAATTAAAAACAAGTTTGATTCATTCCATGTAATGGTAAGTTTCAGCATCCTTTCATTCTTGGGAAAACACCAAACTTTGTAAGGAAAACTTCCTTTGAGGTTACTTCCATTCAATCTTTTATATAAATCACTAATCAATGCAGAAGGGAAAGAAAAACAAATGTTGAAGGGAATGGATTTCTTTCCACTGTAGCAAGTTTCATAGATTAGCAACAATGAAATGTTAAGTCACTACCCAAGAATCTAACAAAAAAAGACTCTACATAGAAAACTGCAAATCACATATGACCCAGCAATTCCACTCCTAGGAATCTACCTGAAGGACACAAAAACATTAATTTGAAAGGAAACCTGCATTCCTTTTTATTGCAGCACTATTTATAAAGCTAAGATATGGAAACAATCTAAATGCCCCAAAACAGATGAATGGATCAAGATGTGGTATACATACACAACGGAGTACTGGGATAAACCCATTCCATTCACAGCAACATGGATGGAGCTGGAAGGGATTATGCTCAGTGAACTAAATGAAAAGGAAAAAGAAAAATATTGGATGGCTTCACTTATAGGAGGAATATAGGGAAACCAAAAGGGTCAAAAAAAAAAAAAAAAGACCAAACTTGCAGGCAAACTATATACATCTGAGGCATATAGTAGAAGAGGGAGAGGGATCAAAACAGGGAAGGGAAGAGCACAAGGGACTATGGTGATGGTTCATGGGTGAGAAGGTAGGAGATTTATGGGAACTACACCTGAAGGGAGAAATCAAATAGTGTAAAAATGAACAACAATGTAAGAAAATAAAGTTTAATCAATTAAACTATAAATCATTGTGGCTATCCACAATTAAAGATCTAAATAAAGGATACTCCATTGTCATTGATTGGAAGTCAATATTCTGAGTATGTCAATTTGCCTCAACCTAATCCATAACTTAAGACAGTATCATTCAAATTTTCTGGAGATTTCTTTTTGTGGATTTTAGCAGATTCTGAAATGTACACTGAGCTACTGATAGCTGTGAGTAAACAGCATGGACACTTATGATAAAACTCCCTCAGTTTGAATAATGGCTTCTACTTTGTGGACAAATAACTTTCTATGCCTCAGCTTCCTAATCTGTAACATGAGGAAGAACAATTGTACCTTTCACATAGGCTTGTTATAGGGATTAAATATGTAGTTTAGATATATGCTTGACACACACTATATATGAGCTTGGCATACTTTTATTTTTTTAATTTATTTATGCATAGAAGAACTAGGGTATAGGCCAGAGGTGCAGGGGATGAAGGATTCATCAGAGACTGAGTGGGGAGCAGAATAGGCAGATCCACTTAAACAGACTACTAAGGGGAGCAGCAAGTGAGAAAGGCGAGGTCTGCTGCACTGTATGTGGGTTAGCTCACTGGCTGGGGATTGAACTCAGACCACAAAAGCTCTGAGACTTAACCCCTACACCAAAAGGGAAGCCCCAAATTTGATAAATTTAAATTAAAACGGGGATGAAATCTACTGGATATCTTCTAGAGTCCAGAAGCAGATGTACACATACATGTGTATATATAAACATGTATATATATATATTTATGTATACATATACAATTTATTTATGCAAAAGGTGAACATATAGTAGTGGATTCAGTAAAACACATGACAACTCGGCGCCATGAGGAAAAAACAAACAAAAAATGACTCCCACTTCACACTGAGATAAGAAGCAATTTCAGGTAAATTACAGAAGTAAATGGAATAGGTAAGAAATAAAAGCTTTGGGCCTCCCCTGGTGGCGCAGCGGTTGAGCACTGGGCTGC